TCTCCTCCCACCCTGTATTTGTGCTTGGGGTTGCTCTGACCCACATGCGGGCCTTGCACTTGGCCTTGTTGGATTTCATGAGGTTTGCATTGGCCCACCTCTCTAGCCTGTCAAGGTCCCTCTGGATGGCATCCCTTCTCTCCACTGTGCAGTCAATCCCACTGTCCATGTCACCAAGAAAGGTGTTAAATAACCCCGGTCCCTATACCGGCCCCTGTGAAACGCCACTTGTCACTGGTCTCGGCTTGGACGTTGAGCCATTGACCACAACTCTTTGGATGCGACCATCCAGCCAATTCCTTATCCAGTGAGTGGTCCTTCTGTCAAATCTGTGTCTCTCCAATTTAGAGACAAGGATGTCATGTGGGACGGTGTCAAAGGCTTTGTACAAGTCAAGGTAGATGATGTCTGTTCCTCTTCCCATATCCACCATCTCTGTAACCCTGTCGTAGAAGGCCACCAAATTTGTCAGGCACGATTTGCCCTTAGTGAAGCCATGTTAGCTGTCACCAGTCACTGGACTGGACAACTGGACTATTGCTTGAATCATGATTCAGTGTTTTATAAAACTCTACAGCATAAGATGCCAACAACTGAAGCATTTATGATTTCTGGTCAGGACTAGTAGGGTCCCACAGGACAAGAGATTCCTCTAGAGCAAGGATGTTCCCTGCCTGCTCTTCAAAAAGCCCTCTCTGAAGCCCTGGCTGCTCTTAATTAATAAAAATGAACAACACGGCACCATGGTTATGTTTTTTTTAAATTGCAGCCTACTTAGTTCTTCGTCTTCGCTTGTTAGCTTCTCTGTCAATGGGAAAGTAATCTTCCACTCAGAAGAATTTGACTTCTACAAAGTGAAAAGTTTAATAGTTCCCTTTGTACAGGAGTTATTCTTCTTCACAAAATTTAAATGTTTAACTCTAGACTTGTGAACACTGTTGCATCCCTTCTAAAGAACTGTGCATCCAATTGTCTTACAAAGGTCTCCAGTGGTCTTTTAAGGCAACCATGCAGCATGAAGCTGTGGTATGCAAAGCTATCTGAGCTAGTTTTGTAGCTAAATTGACGTGGTTTCTGGAAATAAAACAAGTGATGTAGCTAAATCTGCTGCTCAAACTTCCCTTCAAGCTTCCCATCACAACTGTTTTGCGGGATCACACTCGATATGTTAAAGTGAATATATTGTTTTGGGATCTGAGCTGGTTTGAGTCCCTTTGCACAATACTGTGTTGTGGCATGCATGTGGGAACAGTACACATCAGAGTGTCCTTGCATACAATGCATACCCTTGCGTTTTCCTGCTTGTGATTCACGTAATTAAGGAAATCTGTGAGAGAGAAGCCCAGCCACTTGCTGGATTTTAGAGCAGGTCACTTGTTTGATCTGTAACTCTTGACAACTTAAATTATGTAAGTCTCCTTGGTTAAAAGCATTCACATTAGAGCTGAAGAGCATTCATACTCAGTCCTTCAACTCTGTTCCTTTAGGAGGCTCTTGTGATGATCTGTATCTTGCTGGTATCTGGTGGCTGAAGACAGAGGTTTTAGGTGAAAGCAAAGGGTTTAATAATTTGGGTGGCATAATGCTTTAGATAGCTGAAAGGTGTTAGTCAAAGCCCCTTTCACTTTCATTCATCTTGCAGGAATTGCTCTTGTCTGTTTTGATGAAACATGCTTCTATGATGAATGAGATTGCTTTTCAGTGCACCAGGATTAGGGATGAGAAAACAATGCAGTGGAGACCAGATTCATTTGTCTTTACCTGAGTGACTTGTATGAGTGGCTCTCATTCCTTTGGAGACCAGAGAAATCCAAGTGCTGATTCTTTGCTACTGTAACATATAAAGTTGAGTTAATGTATCTCCTGTAGCTGCAAATCCTTAGAAGTCCTTGAAAATAATGAGGAAAATTAACAAGCTATGATGGATTCATGCGCTTCTCTTCTGATCTCTTTCTTTCATGTGATAGTTAAATACACTGAATTACAACCATGTACCATTTATTCTAGTTTCTGAAAAAAATGAGCACTGAAAATTCCATTTGTTCAGTGCTGTGTAGAGTTGATGTTTTTCTCAGGACTACTTGGGCTTTGAGAGATTGAATGGTGCAAAATACCTGTGATAGCTTGTGATTTCTGTGCTGAGAACCAGTAAGAGAAGAGAAAACAATCCCTGAGGAATTCTGTTTCTTTTCCTCTTGCCACACAGGAGGAATCAGTGCACAAATCAACAAGTAGCAGCAGCATCTCCCCCTCACAAGTGGAAGACCCCTCTCAAGAAGGCACCAGCAGCAGAAAGAGTGAGTTTTGATGAGAGAGCCCAGTGGCTGCTTTTATACACTTCTGTTGTCTTCTGGTCTATTAACTTTGTCTGAAATTTTTACAGAAAGCTGAAGCTGAGTGTTGCTAATGGAATAAATCTCTAAAGCTGAACCCTAGAACCTGCTAAATAGGTCAAATGTGATTAATGACTGGAAGGCATTAGCCTGCACTATATGTGGATATCTTTGTGAAACAGGTTTCATACATGAAGTCGATGTGGAGCTGTAGAGGAAGTCACAAATGAATGAGGGATAGTTAAGCTATGCTTATCTCATAAAATAATCTGTTGCTGCAGAAACACATTCTAACCTAAGACCAGTTTAAATGTTTCCTGCATTGCTGTCACTGTGGCAGTGAATGTACTTGTTTGAAAGACACATAGCAATCACCAGTATGTCTCATATGTTGTTACTGGGAAGAGGGGCAGATCTGTTGGGGTTTTTTTTCAGGCATAGTTATTGTAGGCTTTACTGTGTAACAATATTTTTCATTTGTTTCAAAGTGTTTTGATTTCACTGGAAAGGTTTTGTAATGAAATGTGTGATCTGTGCATGCATTTTCTGTGCATGATGGTGAAATAAGTAGAATAAGCCAATACCCTGAAACACCAAATGGATATACAATGGTAACTGGGCAGCAGCATGCCTATATTTGCTGGGTTTATGAGTATTCCTATTCTCTCAGTCTGGAAAATGTGATGAAGTGATACCTGTCTTGAAGATGCTGTGAGTATGGATGTGTAACGTCAGCCACCAATAGTAGGCATTGTAGCAGATCAGTGGCTAGTTTAAGTACTGAACAATGTTATCCAACAGTTTGTCTTAGAAGAACTATTTTTTTTTTTTTACTGATTGAATCTTTAGCACCTCCCAAGTTCTTGCCCATATCATCTACACCACAGCCTGAGAGACGGCAGCCACCTCAGAGACGACACTCCATTGAAAAGGAAACACCAACCAATGTGAGACAGTTCCTACCACCTTCAAAACAGAGCTCCAGATCACTTGTAAGTGGAGTGGGTGGTAGGAGAGAGAAAAAGAGGCATGCTAAGAGTATAATGAAAATTAAAACTTGGCTTCAGTGTGATTAGAACTTGACTCAAAGGAAACTCCTCAATTCAGAAACAGCCTGTGGCTACTAAAGACGTTTTGAAATCAAGATTTGAACTTTGTCTCCCTAGCGTATTTATCCAAAATCCTAGGTACAGGTGCCTCAGAAAACATTTGCACTTTGATTAGGACTCTGGGTAAAGCCACGTGCCTTGATTTTGTTTTAGAATGTTACCAAAAGCAGATGAACTTCGCCTTACTGATTTTCCATTTGAATAGAGACAATTCCAAGCAGTGGATCTATTTTGGAATTTGGGCAAATTTTTTAGTGGTTGAAAGTATTTTAGTTAATGGCTGAATGAATGGAATGGTTTCTTTTCTTCCCACCTTAAGAACTTATGTGGTAATGTTTATACATGTGAAAGCTCTTTCAGTAATCCAAGTCAAGGTTTGTCTGTGCTGCTTTGTTGAAGTTACTGGGGCAAAAACCTGTATTACTGCTTGAAAAGAAAGTACAGTACATTTGATCAATTAGCTTTAATTGAGAGCTGTTTTCCAACAGAGTATAAACGGCAAAGGCTATGAAATCCTGGTTCGTTTATGCTGGCATGCTGCTTAGTGCTTTGTAATTTCATGCAGGATATGTTCCTCGTCTCTTTTCCTACCAGCAGGGTTTCAAAGTATGCCCCATGAGGTGCTGGTGAATAGAGAAATCAATAAACACATCCTAGTTTCAAAAGGAAGGGAATATTTACTCACCCCATCTTTCAGTGCAGTGGTATTAATGAGCTTTGATGAGTGTTCTTGTTGGCCCAAGAGGTGGTAGCCAGGATCCAAACCTATTAGATGACGATATTGAACAGTAATAAGAAAATAATCTGCAAATATTCCCACAACATGCTTGCTCCTCTTCTTTTCTGAGGATCTGCTGGATTTTGTTGATTATATCCTTTGGAGTAAAATATAGTTTCTCATTCCAGGTGAAGGTCAGGTAGTAGCATGTTGATAAACACACCAGTAAGCTTCTTCTGCCAAAGTGAACTTGTAGCAGAACGTATCACGACAGAACCAAGCTGGAGGGTTCCTTCGGCATGCATTTGAAGACACTGCCATATAAAGTCGATTGCCCTTTCATTGCCTGCTGTACTCACTATGTGTGGAAGCACCAGTTTGATTTTCTGATAGGCCCAGAGTCATCCACAGGTTTATTGTTTAAAGGGAGGAGGGGAGAAAAATGTTATACTGAGGCATTTGCTGCTTCACACTTTTAGTGTATCTAAATATGTTACATTGTAGTATTGATCTCCTGTGTATTTGAGGGGATCATGCAACTTGAAAATCTTATATATGAGGCTGTTATTTTAAGTAGGTCAACCAAGTTCTTTAAAAGACCACATACATATTTTCCCTCTGTCAGTCTGTTCACTGGCATATGCCTAGAAAAATATACACAAAATAAAACCATTGCAGAAAAACTAGTTCAGTTATTCCATTCCTCCTTAAAAATACTAAAGGAAAAGGGAGAAAAAGACATTAGATAAGCTGGGCTAAGGTGGGAACATGTGGGAAAGGTTTTACTAGTTTCTTCTGTGCTTAGGGAGGTTGGGTTGTTTTGGTTTTTATTTAATCTTCAGAGCACTGTCACCTAGCTTGGTTTTGGCTATGAAGTGAGAAAGAAGGAAAATCAGTAGTGAAAGGATGTTCTGTTAATAAGAACCTATTTTATTTGATGTCTAGAGAGCTAATTCTTTAACTTGGCAATAGTGCCCTCTAGGGTGTGACAAAAAACTCCCACAATACTTTTGTTTTTAGTTTTGGTAGATGGTTCCTGACATGCTGGAACTGGCTCAGTTCCTTGCTTTGGCTTACTGCAAGTCTTTCCTTCCCTGGAGAGATGCCAGCTTCTTTCTGTGGCTGTGCCAGATGCTGCATATGTACCATTGCCTTTCCTGGAGTGAACACTTCTCAATAAGTGCAGAATATTATTTACCTTTTACTTGACTTCACACTTCTTCAGCCCTTCCTCCAGGATTGATGGAGTTTCTGTTCTTATCACCTGCTCCTGTGACCGCAGTCTCTCTCCAAGGTGAAAGAGACCTCATCAGTAAATAGCCCTCAATGCCAGGGAAAACAGGCAGGAGTTTGCTACAGTCTCTTAGCAGGATTAGCAAGAAACAGGTCTGTCTTGCATACTAATGACAATTTTTGTGAACTGGCATCTCATCAGACAGAGGGAGTTAGACCTAAGTAGGTGGGGAGGGGAAATAGACTTGGAAAGATGCCAAACATAGTCCTTTTGATATGTCACCCTACACCAGCGCTACATGGAAAGGCAGGGCAGCTCAGTGATTTTTCAGGGGGTCAGCCCGGTGGTGGTGTGCTCACTGTAGTGAGCTGACTTGGTGCTTAATCAGTGAGATGAAGCCAGTGTCCTGAGGTGTACGTATGAATGTCTTTGTAGTATGTTTGCTTTTTAAATTATTATTATAATTATCATCATTATTATTTTTCATGACCCAGAGGACCAAAGCTAATGGTTTCATTTATACACAGCATTCGCTTCTCTGCTTCCTATCTATTGTTCAGGTTCCTAGGATAACCAGTTTATTTCCAAGGATGACTTTCAGACCACTTTTTTCAACTGTGCAAACAGCTTCTCTGCTCAGCTCTCATCCTGTTGAAGCAGCCATGTGTGGGGTGGCAGGGGCTATGTACTATCTCTGTGAGAGAGCTTTTGCCAGCAGGTGGAAACCCGCAAAGGTTTGCCTCTTTTTGCTGGCTTTGGAAATCACCTTCACCAGCATGTTCCCTCCTAGGGGAGCACTTCCTAAGCTGTGGCAAGAATTAAAGCTTAGGCTGGGACATTGCACCTGATTGACATTGATTTCAGTGTGTGTAGGGTATTTGTGTGTCTTCAATCACTTCACGGGGAAAAGAAATCAGTTCTGAAAGGACAGCAAACTAAAAATGCAACATCACAAGATTATCAATGAGATGGACCTTAAATGTTACAGCACATGAAGATCCTGAAGCAAAAATCCAGCAAAACTATTGTAATCCTTGGACTGTGTGAGAAAGGATAAGGTTTTGTGTTTCTAACAGGATATGCTACGTAGAACGGAAGGGCATTTGCAATCTGTTTTACTTGAAAACCTACATATGGTTTTGGTCCTCAGCACACTTACATATCAGAACTTGCAGAATAGCTAATAACTATGTACCAGGGGAGGCAAATCCACTGAAAAAAAAAAACAAACAAACTAATCATTTGCCCCTATGTAGAACGGAACACGAATAATTTAATTTTTTCCATCTTTTTTTTTGTCCCAGTCAGTAAGTGAAATTATGGAACCTGTTGCAGGAGAGTTTATAGTTGAGATATCCAGCTGACTTCTTATAACCTTTTAGTCTGCAAAAGCAACAAGAGTTTAGAGTACTTGCTAATTGTGAATTGCAGAACTTGGAGACCAACCCAGTACTTGCTAGTATTGGATTTTACTAGGGCAGCTCATTTGAATGCCTAGTGACATCCTTTAATGAGAAGTTTTACAAGGAATATATTAGTGTAAAAATGTGTTAGTCATAAGGACCTATTAGGTGTGTGTATGCTGAGAATGACCTACAAAGCACTTTATTTCACATTATGGATATGTAATTCTTAATACTTGCTTTTCCTGAGTAAAAAAAAAAAAAAAAAATTAGACATATACACCTTAAGCTATTGTGGTGTATATAATAAGATTGCACAGTCAAAGCGTTAAGCCAATTCTCATGAAAACCATGGAAACTTCAAGTTCAAAATAGTATTTTTAAGTAAGATTTTTTTTTCCCCTTTGAAAATAAGAATACTGACTTGTCTTTAATATTAAAATGAGTATTGAGTACAGTTCCAGAAAACCAAGACCATTCAAACCCCATTTTGTCTTTAGTATGTTCTGTTGTATGCAAGTGTTGCAGAGAGCTGAAGTTCTCTCACTTCAAGCTACCTAACTTGGGTGCAGATTATTGTTGGGGGTTTGAGTAATAACTCCAAAGCATCATTGTTTAATGAAGTTTAGTCAGAGCTTAGTGTAATTTTAATTAATTTCAATGCCTCAGAGCTAGTGTTGAAGCAAAAGATTTTCTCATGTACTTACTTCTACTCTGAAAAGGAAAAAAAAATCCAGCAGTTTTCTGAAATCAGCATAATGTTTATCTTTCATTTAATGTTGCATTAACATTTGTTGTCCTTGTGTAACCTCTGGAATTAAAACATTAGCATTTAAACATGTGAACATTTTCTATGTTTCCCCTGTTGCCTGCTAGCTCTTTCTATTTGTTTAGTGATAATCATTTTCGATTGGTACAACAACAGGCCCACACTATTCCCCTAGTACCTGCTCTACACCTATAGCAGATCCGCAGACTTTCTTCAAAGGAGCAATATTCCCTGACGTCATCGTTCTGTAAATTAAAGGAATGGGCGTTCATGAGGGGGAAGGAAAAGCTTCAAGTAAGACATGCATTTCTAAAGCTCTGATTGATTACAAGCATCCAGTCAGCCTCATTCACCTTGGACAGTTTCTCTCAGTCTCCCACGATGCAGAATTGAGGGGTTTTGCTGGCATTGTGTTTATCACACTTTCCCACCCACTTCCTCTCCTGTCTCGCCCCAGCCATCAGCCGTGCCTTCTCCATAGCGAGGCAGTTGCTATGGGAAGAACCCAGAATGAAATGCTGAGAGCTGCTGCTTAGCTATAAAAGTGCTCATAAAGAACAGAAGTTATTTTTGTTTGGCTGTGCAGTTTTACACCTCAGAGCAAATTGCAGTTGCTTTTGACGTAGTTTGTTCTTTACAGAAAACTAGTGATTCTGTTCCCCCAAAGGTTTAGTTGGCAAATCTAACAAAGTTAACTCAACGCTAACTCAATTTGTGGGGTACCTTAAACAGAGTGAAGTTTCTTTGTGTTCCCTTTCTAGATAGGTAAGACAACAGTTTTTAAAAATGTGGTGGTTCCTAAATGCTAATGTTTGCCAGGCCTGCATCGTAGAAAGAACTTCTTTTTATTCTAATGGAAAGACAGAACAGACCTCTGAGTACATGGAAGTGGAGCATTTTACTACTAATCCGATTCATCATTTCAATTTGTAAACGAGATCTCCAAACTGTCAGCCTTGTCTTTGTATTTGCAGGAGAAATTTCCTTCATTTATTCAGAGAGCATTACGTATCATTGTCCTTACTGCACAGTAGCCACTGTGGGCTGACTGAAAAGGTTCACTGAGCATAAAGCAATGGGAGTTCCCACAGAGGTTTCTGTCTTTCTGTTGGAAATGTATAATCAACTACTGGGCTGGATTACAAATTGGGTTGGTGCTTTTTATTCTCTGGTACCAAATTCAGGACTTCTCTACTCAATATTCTCCTAAATGCCGTAATACAGAACAGATACAAAATTTCGTTAAGTGGAAAGTTGTGTTGTTAGTCTCTATTTGAGTCTCTGCCATTAATAATGCAGCACTGGGTAATCAGTTCTCCTGCTTTGTATTTGAAGATTATTCTACAAAGCTCGAATTGCTGTTGTTACTTTACTGGGGCAGAGAGGAGAACTTCCCTGTCTGAACTGACGTAACTTTTTGTAGTCTTGGTGGGATTCTGATCATGTGAGCAAAAAGATGTGGTACCACTGAATAAAAATTTCTGCTAGAATGGGCTACTAACAACCTTCCTTGGCCACTCTGGGCACCACAAAGCCTCAGAGAAATTGTGTGTCTTCAAACAATGTACTTAATTGTAATACCATATGCCAAATTACCTTTTCCCTTTCAAATTACAAACCCAAATGTTGATTGGTTTGAAACAAATCTGTGTAATGAAATACAAACAGAGAGAAGGGTCAAGTGGTTTGAGGAGGAAAAATAAAGAAAACTCTCATTGTTTTGAAGGCTGAACATCAGACCATTTAGACCACTTACACAGTCTCCAACGGTTTGAAACTCATGTGATGCCCATGAAGGAGCCAGTGCTATTCCAGCTTGAAGGGAGAAATCCTTTATCCTGGAGTTACTAACCAGGTGTCTGGTTGTTTAGGTTGAAGTCTGGAAGAAGCCATTTGGCTTTGAAATAATACAGGTTTTTTGGCTTCCAGGAGGAGTTTTGTTACCCGGTGGAATGTCTGGCTCTGACGGTGGAGGAGGTCATGCACATCCGTCAGGTGCTGGTGAAGGCAGAGCTGGAAAAGTACCAGCAATATAAAGATGTCTACACTGCTCTCAAGAAAGGAAAGGTAGGGCTGGGTCTGTGGAGGCTCTGAAGCTCATTGAGGGAGGCTGGTCACAGAAGGCTCCCATTTACACATTTGTTTCTTACCCTGTATTGGAGAAAAGGAAGGAATATCCACCAGATTCCCCCTGAATGTATGACATAGGGGTCAGCTTCCTTGAATTTTGTGCAGAAACAACAAAACTTTTCATGGAAATACCTTATTTGTTTAGATTGCCTATAAAAATGCAGTAGTGTTTGCAATTATCAGAGTGTATATGTATGTGTATGTATATGTTTGAAACTTCATTTACTAAAGTGATTTCTGTCCCCATGCATTCTGCAGTATTTCTGTTTCAGAAAATAGAATAACAGCTAGCAGTAGGACATTACAGCAGGTTTTTCATATGAATCCTCACTGTCAAGCAAAGAGGGAATGAAAACCGTCAGAGAAGTCAGACAACATGTGACCCCAGGAGGAGGTTTAATATTAGAGAACCCGTTAACTAATACTTTTTTTTTTTTTGCTATAAACTGCAGATTGGGAATTGGTATTTGCCAATAGAAGCAGCGTCCTTTTCTTCCACTTTTGACTTGCACTTCTTGAACACCTCCAGCAAGTGTGTTTTGACTTTGCAGTGTATTTTACCTACAGGCCTACCCATGGCTATTATGCAGATGTAATTTAAAGATTTAATGCGTTTCAGGCAGAGGAACAAGAATATTAAAATGTCATTCATTAGATTCACCTGTCATGATACGCAAAGCATAGTAATGACCTTTTATCAAATCTCAAAGTAAGTTGATGCTGTAATTAATTTACCCCACTGTTAAAATTGTTCACTTTTATTTCTAACCAGACATATCTAGCCTCACCTGAGTCGCTGGATCTCAGTATGTCATCTTTGGTTTGACTGCAAAACTTTTCATTGCTTAGTGCCTTTCCTTCCTAGAAATGTTCTTAAGCTGTGATCCCTACTTCCTTTGAATAACCCAAATATATGAGATGTATTATCCTGCTATAAAGCAGGTTTTCCTCAAGTAAGATTGCTATAATAGCTCTTCCCTGCACCTCCTCTAGTTTTCAGGTGCGTAGGATTGGAAGAAAATAATCAAATGTTATCACAGGCAAAAACTGTGTGTCCCAGAGCCTGACCACAGAGGGATACGAACAATTTCCAGCCTAAATGTATTCATGGCTGAATTTATGCCTTTTTGGTCTTGTGTTCTTCAGTTGTAACAGTTACCCTTCCTTACTGCTGTGACTCTCACTTTCCCATTGCTTTTTTGTGTAGTAATGATATAAACATCAGTGAGGGAGGAGTAAAAATAAGTTAATAATTAACTGGCATTTCATTTAGGTAAAAAAATTAAAGGAGTATTTCTAAACATATGAAGCTACAATTCTGGACCATTCTTTTCAATGTGAGCTTAGAAGTATGGACCCCAGAACTGGATGTAGTACTGCAGCTGTGGTCTCACTGATGGCAACTGATAGATGAAGTCATTATTGTGCAGGACTTTGCCTAACATTGTGGACTCCTCTGTTCTTCTTTTAGCTCTGCTTTTGCTGTCGAACAAGAAGGTTTTCTTTCTTTACCTGGTCTTACACTTGTCAGTTCTGTAAGAGGTAAATATTTAATATCTGTTAATAAATGAGACTGTTTCAGAGGGAAAAATACTGATTTATATGTTAGAAACCTCCAATTTTTTCCACTACATACTTTGTTTCTATTTCTGTAACAGTCAATGATAAAAAACATTTATGGAAAATCAGTTCCTTCCTAAGTGACAGAATTGCTTCCTTGGACTGAAACTCTTGGCTAAAATTGAGAGAAACACTCATTTGTTCTTTTATGCTCATGGGAGAGTGAGATGGAACTTACGCAGACTCCCCAATCAACAGTTCTGTGATCTCTGGTGTTGGGGAAAACATTTCAAAGCAATTTATATTTTGTATAATTTTTGGAGTATTGGTGGAGGGAGAAGGAAAGAGGAATCATCTGCAGGCAAAATGAAAAAATTGAACAAAGAGACAATAAGTCTGGAGGTCTATGGAATCACTGTGACTTATTGTGTCAGTTACCAAAGAAGGTTTCTTTAGAGGAAAAACACGTTTTGGGGGTTTTTTTATCTCTAGTTCTTGTTCTTTATTTCTCCTTGCCTTTGCCTTCATGTCCTGGTTGAAGTTACTACACTGAAGAAGCTTTAAAAATAAATAAGTTTGTTTAAGGGGAGGATGGGAGAGGATTCTAACTCCTGAAAGCATTTATCCCTTTTTCTTGGTTTAAATGTAATTTTTCTCAATGAAATGATTCATGTTCTTGCTTTCTTACACAGGCCTGTGTGCTCACAGTGTTGCAAAAAAGTAAGTAAACTTATGGTTAGATCCTTTCTAAAAAGCTGTAATCTTTGTAATGATACTTCATGTTCCTTCTGCTATTCCCAACAGATGCGGTTGCCATCAAAGCCATATTCTACTCTCCCCATCTTCTCACTGGGACCTTCAACCTTGCAAAGAGGAGAAAGCTTTATGAGGCCAGAGAAACCCTCTACCAGTCACCACCGATCACTACGGAGCATGTCCAGGTGAGAAACAACCCTAGCTCATGTGTGTGTGTTGGCAATGCTTCCTAAGCGTTTCATATTGAGTTATCAATCATTGAGAAGATGCTGTCTATCTGTTTTGTAGCTGTCAGTGTTTCTGATGCTTGTAGTAACTTTTCTGAAGCCTGAGTCTCTGTTAGTATCACTATTTCTGTAAATCAAAGAAATGAGTCTCTTTCACTCATTGCTTTGATTTACAGAAATAGTGATACTAACAGCATGTCTTAAACCTTTCTCACTTTATAGGTGAAAAATAATAGGAGTCGGGGACAACTGTATTTCTTTAGCACCTTTGCGAAAATATCCTTACCCTGTCTTTTGCTGGTGTGAATAGACTCTGGAGACAAATCTTGCGGGCTAGAATCACTGACTGAATGGGAATTCAGTGATGTCTTGCTCAGATTTATCTTTTTTCCCCCTAATTTTTCTAATTCTAATTTTCACTAGTTTTTTTTCACTTTCACATTATCAAGTTATCTACTGGTTTTATATCTTATACACAGATGGTTGTCAAAGCTAAACCGAGAAATTAAAAATAAAAGAAACGCTCCTTTTTGAGGTGATCTACGGTATAAATCCTCTGCACAAATCACTAGTGCTATGATACTGTGTCAAATTAGCCAAACACATTGTCTCTTTTTAGTTATTAGTAAGGTTGTTTTTGTTAAGGTAAATGTTGCACATACCCTTTGTTAGTGACCCTGCAGTCTTGCTGAACTAGGCAGAAGCTGTCCTCTCCGGTGTTTGGTCTCCCGGTGTCATTGTTGGGACTGGAGAAAGGAAGATTTGAATGAAGACTGTTCTGATGTGCTCTTCCCTGAAAGCATCTCGTGGGGCCCACTGCCATGCTGCTAAACAATGTGACAGGTCCTGCTTTTTTGCCTTTCAGGTTGACCTCAAGGTCCAAATCTGTGGATAAGTCACATGAAGAGTTTCCCAAAGAATTAATGGAGGACTGGAGCACGATGGAGGTGTGCGTGGACTGCAAGAAGTTTATTTCAGAAATCATCAATTCAAGCCGGCGCAGCCTATCTCTGGCCAACAAGCGAGCCAGGTTAAAAAGGAAAACACAGTCCTTCTACATGTCATCGCCAGGAACCTCTGAATACTGCCCCTCCGAAAGGACTATCAATGAGATCTGAGCCTTGTGCCTTTTTCTTTGCTTTTGTCTTCATGAGGTCATCATCCATGAGCAAGGTCACTGAAACTGGGTCATCATTCTGTTGCTTCGTTTCACTTGACTGGCTTGAATTTGCATTAGACCACAGGATTTCCTACTCCAACAATTCCCAGAGAACGCTATGTTTAGATCTGTGCAGAATGATACACATCAGGTCAAGCTGCTCGCACTGGAAGAAAATTAATAGTTTGAAATCGTTGCCTCTTTTGTATGTGTGTGATGAAACTAGAAACATTTCTTGCTTTCAGTCTTTTTTTAACCATGCTTTGAATAATTTTTCAGGAGATGAGCTGAAAACATACATTAAATGGAGAACCAAATCTAACAAAGTGTCAGTGTTAGCACAGTAGCAAACAGTAAGTCATATTGCCACCCTAGGAATGCTCACATCCTACTTTAAACAGCAAAGGGTTGTATCACACACGAGGCACCGAGTGTTGAGTGACCGTGGTCAAAACCATCTTTCTTTGAACTGTTTCTGTTGCTCTGAGATGAAGGTTCAGCACAGGACTCTACAATGTCTGTGTCCTAGGGCAAAACACACGACAAAGCTGTTCGGTCGTGTGGTTGGCCATTCCCCTGAGCTGCTGTACTTTTTAAGCCTTAGTGTACTTCTAAGTGTCTCCTGAGCAGTTTTTAGTGGTTTACTTTCTATCTTGAATGTATGATGATGACTACTAGTAGCAGTGAATTTTAGTAGTAGACAGAGTTGTACAGTTTATGGGGAGGATGGAAAATAAGGGAGGCTTCTAATTTTAACTGAATACCTGTAAAGTTGTTCTCGTGGTTACTCAGAGAAAATGGTGGGTAAGGTGTACATTTGTATTATAGTGGAGCATACAAATACTGCTATAGTTATGTCTGACAGCATATCCACTGACAACCCCATTTTTTCTGGGGTTTATAACTTGGCTGTAAAAATTAGTGTTTTGCTGAAATTTGGGACAGTGCTGTCTCAGATTGGGAGCAACCTTTCCCTTTTTTTCTTTTACTTCTTTTTTTCATTCTTTTTCCCTTTTACTTCTTTTTTCATTCTTTTTCCGTTTTTAATTTGTGTACGAAAGACTGCTAGACTAGTTGTTTAGAAGTTCCAACAATGTTACAATGTTAACTGACATCTCATGCTTTTTTGCACTTTTTTATATTCAAAATACTTTTTTTAAATTCAGGCATAGCCAGAGTTTAGTCAATAATTTAGGGCCAGATCATTTTAGTATATCAAAACAAGCTAACATAGCCAAGTTATTAATACTTGAAAATCAACTACTGTAACTTTTTCATAAATTTTTAATACCCTGAGGCGTATTTAATATCTATAAAGCGGTGTATTTTAGAATGACATAGCAGAAAAGTTTCAGATTTATTTATTAACATTTCTGTACTTTGGATTAATGAGAGATACCTCAGAACTGCTCCAAAGTAGTTGGGACTGGATTTGCATAACATGATTTTAAAAATGTATTAATCAGAATGGTTTCTCCTGTCCAAATCTCATGCATTGAGAAGCCCAAGAGCAGGCAGTGCCCCGCCAGGCCTGCTGAGGCGCGGTGCAGGGGCCGTGGGGCACCAGTGGAGTTGGCTCCCATGCGGTGGCTGGGCTCCAGTCCCACTGCGGGCTGCCTCCTGCTGCCCAAGGAAACAAGGCTTCCCCGTGCAAATGTATTTGTGTGTTACATTGCAGCCTTCAGAGTAGCCACTCGTATCATCTCTTTTAAGTTGGTTTGAAAAGCACATGCAAAAGTCTCCTTAAAGCTTCCCAGGGACTCCTCCATCCTTATTTTTCTTTGAACGCCCCCTTGGAAAATTAGAATTTTTGCATATGCAGGGCTTATTGAAATAATGTTAATTTTCTTTTTTAACCAACATGAACAGGAAAAGCAGGGCTCCAGGCTAACTCTCCCTTGTCCCGTTGTAAGGTCCGTTGTCATGGCCCTTTCCTCAGGGTACCTCTGAAAAAGTGTCTTGCATGGTAAAGCACCTGGAGTACTGGCGTGAGATAAGGTTGTAAGGTTGCAGGAGGTAAGCAGCACAGACAGGCTGATTTGAAAGGTCTGCTGTTGCTGGAAGGGTCTCCTGATCTCAGTCACATCAGCACTTTTTCTTGTTTCTGTGCCAAAACCAGGCTGTGTGTTTGCTGCACAGTGCATCAGGAAAACTAGACTGAAAGAAACGCAGGCAACCTCACTTTGCATCTCCCCTGTTGTTGTTCTTATCATTTTCTCCTTGAAATGCCCCAGCCACACGTTACAATCGCTCTAATCCTCTGCTCGCAGTCCTCTTCCCTGACATACCCTGCACGTTTATTTTCTCCTTTGAGAGGGATGTAGGGCATTGCAGAGCAGGCAGGATCAAGGACTAAGTAAATCCCGAGTGTGCAAAGGGCAGATTGTCCCTCACGGCACACCTGCGCCATCCCTTCCACCTCGGCAGTGTCTGGAGTGGTTCTGGGGAAGTGGTGGAGCCTTAGGTCCAGCTTTGCCCTCCCAGGCTCTGCTGTGCTAGGCAGGGCATGAACGCCGAACAGCAGCGCACTGCTGTGCAAACTGCTCCATGTTGCTCACAGGACAGGGCCTGGATACTTCCCTTCTTCCCTGGAACAAACCCTCCGGGCTGCTGACACAGGTTGTTGCAAGCACCAGAAAATGTGTCACAGAGGGCTGCTTCCCACCTTCCCTCCCATCCCTTGCTCTCTGCCCCAGTTGCTCTGCATTATCCTGGCGTTTCATTCCGAAAAAGAAAAAGCAGTGGGTTGGTTTGTCACGCAAAGCCTGAAGGAGCTCCGTTGCCTGGATCTCAGCAGAGTGGGCTATTTTTAGCTTTCCATCTCGCTGCTTGTGCTAGCATCCCAAATCCATTGCAGCCATTTGCCTGCGTACCCCGTGGTCCTGCCCAGCATGTCCTATTTACAGTCTGAACTTCACATTAGTGTCAGAGGATGAAATCAGAAGCTTGTAAATATGTGTAATATATTTATTAATATTTAGGCAGTCTCCATCAATCATGCAATGGGAATTGACTTTCCCATGATGTTTTAAAAAGGAAATGAGTCTTATTTATATGTGTTGGCTATTATCTTTATTAGAGTTAACGCTTTCAGCCCCCTAATAGAGTTTGCACTCCATAGGCATTTTAGAGTGAATTACTGCTGAAAAGAATGTGGGACTAGCACAGTGAGCTCCCTTCCATTAATTTTTAAAATATTTTAATTTTTTTTAGCTTTATTAATATGCCCAAGCTCTGTTTAAATATATGATAGGAGGCCCAAGGAGTTAAAAATGCCGCTGGCAGCATCAGTTTTGTTGTGAACCTCGTTGCGGAGAATTCAAAACCAGCTCTGCCTCACGGTGGCGATGGAGGAAGCGCACAGGCCTTTGCTGCAGCTCTCAACCTTGACCTTTGAAATGTTCGGGTGACAATAGTGCTTTGGGGGTTTGTTGTTTTTTCCCCCTTCCCCATTACTTCTTTTATACAGGGAGGCATGTAATCTGGCAAAAATAAAATGCCTTTCCATTATTGCCCTTGTCTGTGTTAATTATTCATGTGGAAGCTGATTTAAAGGTTCTGTCTCTCTCCTTTACTTTTTCATGCTTTTATAGTTTTGTAAGATCAGTCAGACATTTATTTTGGCGAAGAATTGTTAATGAAAATGATTGAATAACAGCTGCACACTGGCTGGGCTGCATAAAAGAGGGACACATATCAAAGTACTGTTAGAACAGCAATAAAACTGCTTGTGTAATCCCAGTGATGTGATCAGCGCCTCGTCATCATTTCCAGCCAACTCCCTCCGTTTCCAGGGTGTCGCTACCTCCAGCATTGACGGTCTGTAGCTGAGGCACGCGTCCTGCATGGAGTACAGGCATTGGGAAATCTCCATCCCTCATCTTTGGGAGAGAAATGCTGGCAGTCTTACAGAAAGGTTTTTGATTGATTGTTTTTCATTTTTAAACGAGAAGTGGAGAGAACATTTTTATCACATCTATTATGTTGTTCTCTCTTCTTCTTTCAAGCTCCCCTTTTTCCCCAGGCAAGTTCAGCATCAGCTTCCATGGTTAGTTACTGGCTGCATGCTCTATAGGTTAAAACTAATTTAGAAGCTCCAACTTTAGACTCCCAATTGCTCCCTTCATGCTTTACCTCATCCAGCAGCTCTGTACATGTTTTAGGAATGTCTTTCTTACAAGCTCAGTCTCATCTGTGAAACAGTGACAGCACACAGGCATGAGGGAAAGGTGCTGCAACTGTATGCTCTGGTGCTACAGCATATGGATTATGTTAATGTCACCATAAAATTCTGTAGTATTTCCATGTTGATAACTTGGAGCTGCTCTCATTTATTTCTTCTTCTTTTGTCTGTATGTATCTTAAGGTCAATCTGAGAATGTTTATGAATATTGATTCCAGCTATAAAGATCTGGTTTGTTGTTTCTGTCTCATTTTTACTAGTGTGTTGCAAATTTTTTGAGTACCTGAAATTCCTATTCACCAGAATTTCCTGGTAGGAGAACCATCAGAGACAGGCATTAGCTCAGTCTGACGTAACACGCAATGGCACAGGACCCATTTCCTGACATGTAAGCGTAAGTTCATGAGTGTTGTCCTCATGGCAGCTTGATTGAGTCCAGCGCTGCCATCTCCTCCACGGGGAGAGCTGGTGCCACCTGCTGTATGCAGGGGTTGGGCACTGAGCAGCACCCACCAGCTCCGGCAGCCCCGAGCAGAGGGAGCCCGTTGCCCTACCTGCACTCTCACCTTGACCCTGGAAAATCCCAGAGCTGCTCTTGTTGCTCAGTTGAGCTGGCACAAGCTGTGAGCCTTTCCGTGCCCCCCGGTCCCCATCTGCAAAAACAGGGGACTACAACGTGGTTACAACTGTTTAAAGGATTTTGAGAGGTGCTGACAAAGAGATGAGCGCCCAGTGTCAGAGCTAACAGGATCCTGCACTGCAAGTTTCCATCAGCTTTCAGTAGTTGAAAGCAATTTTTACCTCCAGGTGCACTGAATTCCAGATAGTTGAAACTTTACAACACTTTAGACAAGCAAAGATGTGTGAATTAATTTTACTGTCGTAGTCCACATGAACAAATGTCATACTGCATAACCAGGGGATGGAGCTAAATAGTTATCAAATAGACACAGCAAATTTTATGTGGCAGTAGCTTTCCTTACTTCTTTGCACTAAACTGCAATTCTTTAACTTCTCAGTTTCTTCTCCGGTCAGGCTGTTTTGC